GCTGTCGATGCCCGGGCCCCCGCGGTGCCCCATCGACCAGGCCGTCCTCGAGCCGGCCTGAGCCGCGCGGGCGCGGGCGCCCAGTGCGGAGGGGGCGGGCTCGGTCAGACGGGGGGCGGGCGTACTGCCGCGCCGCGCGGGCTGACGGCCGCCCGGCTGGTCGAGCCGAGGACCCCAACCCCCATCAGGTCGGAGGATCGAAGGATCGAGGATCGAGGATCGAGGATCGTTCGAGGATCGAGGATCGTTCGAGGATCGAGGATTGATCGAGGATCGTTCGAGGATCGAGGATCACCCCTTCCCAACCATGCTCGCGGCGTGGAACAAGTCATGACGGAAGGTGTTGGGCCGTTTTCGGCCTCTGGGGCCCCTACGGGGCCTCGGGACCGTCAAACAATTATTCGGGATGAAAAACCGGTCATGGAGAGGCGGAGGGTCGGAGGGTTGAGGAGGCCTTGGCGGGTTGACGTTGGAAAGGTTGAGCGCTCCAGGTTTGACATCCCCTCCGGGTTGAGAAGGCCTTCTGGGGTGTGTCGGGCAGAGCGGCGGTGAGGAGAGCTATGACAAGTATGATGATCACGATCATGCTCGGAGATTAGACTGCTGATGCTGATGGTGATGATGATGGTGTTGATTGAAAGCAGTGTGCCAGATGGTGACGACGGCTATTATGTAGGTAATGCGAATGATGACAATGATGATGGTGGTGGTGGTGATGTTGATGGTGATGGTGGTGATGCTGACGACGACGACGACGACGACGACGACGATGGCGATGGCGATGACAATGCCCATGCTTATGATGATGATCGTGATGATGAGTATGATGGTTATGAGGATGATTCGGACGACGGGCGATTCCGACGACGACGAAGATTACGACGACCTCGATTTGCATGGATGATGGTGCGGAGGAGGAGGAGCACCAGGGGGAGACACATCAGCGATCGATGTGGGGAAATTCAGGATCAAGGACCAATACCGAGGGCCGAGGAGGAGGAGGAGTAGGAGGAGGAGAAGATGGAGCAGGATCGAGGCTGAAGAATGGAGAATCGAGTAGCATGAATCAGGTGGAAGAGGAGGAATGAAGTCGAAGGATGAGGAGTAATCCGCTACCACGGGAGAGAAGGAGTATGGGGAGGGGAGGAGTAGGAGGAGAATGAGGAGAAGGAGGCGAGGAGGATGAGGAGGGAGGAGGAAGAGGATCTGGAGGGAGAAGGAGGACGAGGAGGAGGAGGAGGAGAACGGGAGGAGGATGCAGTCGAGGATCGAGACTCCAGGAGAATAGAGTAGGAGAATGAGCACGAGAATAGCGGCCCGGCCCGGGCGTACTAGTAGGACTAACTTGGCTCACTCGTACGTTCAGCGGACAGGGCTTCAGCCCGAGACAGCCTCGAAAGTCCGCCCTGGCGTGGCTATTGATAGAACTGCTTTGGCGCACTGGCCCGGCCATTTAGAGTCTGGCCGCGGCGCAACAGTACAACTACCTTGCCCTACTCGCACGACCGGCGAAGTGGGCCCCCGCTCGAAACATCCTCAAAAGTCCGCCCCGGTGGGGCTACGAGTGCGGCTACTTTGGCCTACTGGTACGGTTCTTTGGAGCCTGGCCGGGGCTCATTAGTAGGGCTACGATGCCCAGGGCCGGAAAATGCTCGACGCAATGCAACGTGCTGCAATGCAACGCATCGCAGCGCAATGCGATAAAATGCGACGCAGTGCAACGCAAGGCATCATAACGCAATGCGTGCCTCGTCTTCTGTCAGCGCCGCGGGGGCCCAACAAAAAAACAATCCCGCCCCACTCGCCACATGGCAATACCTGGACGGACACCAAAAATGTCCTGGCGAAGGACCCAACCATATGCAGTTGTGAGTAGCGCGTTATGGGTGCCGCTTTCGGTGGGGCTCACTACGGGGCCACGAAACGCGTGAGGGACGTGCCGTAATGGGTCGGGGAGACGCATGCGGGCGGTGCCATTGGGGCCTTCGGTGGGATGAGGCCGCGAAGCGCTGTACTGGTGTGGGGGGGGAAAAGCATGCGGGTTGTGCCGCTGAGGTCTTTCTGTGGAGCTCCCTACGGGGCCACGAAACGCTGCACTGGGTGGTGGCCGACGCATGCGGGCTGTGCCACTGAAACCTTCGGTGGATCTCGCTATGGGGCCACGGGAGGGGAGGGCGCATACGGGCGGTGCCACTGGGGCCTTCGGTGGAGCTCCGTATGGGCCCACGAAACGCTGCACTGGGTGGGGGGTCGCATGCGGGCGGGCCACTGGAGCTCCGTACGGGGCCACGAAATGCTGTTCCGGGCGGGGGGGACGCATGCAGGCGGTGCCACTGGGGCTTGGTAGAGCTCCCAATCAATGGGGCCGCGACATGCAATATTGGGTGGTGGACGACGCAGGCGGGCGGTGCCATCGAGGTCTTTCTGTGGAGCTTCCCTATGGGGCCGCGAAACGCTGCACTGGGTGTGGCGGACGCATGTGGCCACCCCCACTGGGGCCGCAGGTGGAGCTCCCTATGGGGCCACGAAACGCCGTACTGGGTGTGTTGGAAGCATGTGGCCACCCCCCCACACTGGGGCCTTGGGTGGAGCTCGCTATGGGGCCACGAAGCGCCGTACTGGGTGTGGTGGACGCATGTGGCCACCCCCACTGGGGCCCTGGGTGGAGCTCCCTATGGGGCCACGAAGCGTTGTACTGGGTGAGGCGGGCGCAACTGGCCACCCCCACTGGGGCCCTGGGTGGAGCTCCCTATGGGGCCACGAAGCGCTGTACTGGGTGTGGCGGACGCATGTGGCCACCCCCACTGGGGCCTGCCACGAAGCGCAGTACTGGGTGTGACGGACGCATGTGGCCACCCCCAGTTGGGCCTTGGGTGGGGTTCCCCATGTGGCCACGAAGCACCGTACCGGGCGTGGCGGACGCATGTGGCCACCCCCACTGGGGCCGCAGGTGGAGCTCCTCATGCGGCCCTGAAGCGCTGCACTGGGTGTGGCGGACGCATGTGGCCCCCCCCCCACTGGGGCTTTGGGTGGAGCTCCTTATGGGGCCACGAAGCGCCGTACTGAGTGTGGTGGACGCATGTGGCCACCCCCACTGGGGCCCTGGGTGGAGCTCCCTATGGGGCCACGAAGCGTTGTACTGGGTGTGGCGGGCGCAACTGGCCACCCCCACTGGGGCCCTGGGTGGAGCTCCCTATGGGGCCACGAAGCGCTGTACTGGTTGTGGCGGACGCATGTGGCCACCCCCACTAGGGCCGCAGGTGGAGCTCCCTATGGGGCCACGAAGCGCAGTACTGGGTGTGACGGACGCATGTGGCCACCCCCAGTTGGGCCTTGGGTGAGGCTCCCTATGGGGCTACGAAGCGCTGTACTGGGTGTGGCGGGCGCATGTGGCCACCCCCACTGGGGCCTTACGTGGAGCTCCCTATGGGGCCCCGAAGCGCTGCACTGGGTGTGGCGGACGCATGTGGCCACCCCCACTGGGGCTTTGGGTGGAGCTCCCTATGGGGCCACGAGACGTTGTACTGGGTGTGGCGGGCGCATGTGGCCACCCCCACTGGGGCCTTGGGTGGAGCTCCCTATGGGGCCCCGACACGTTGTACTGGGTGTGGCGGACGCATGTGGCAACCCGCAGGTGGAGCCCCCTATATGGGGCCACGGAGCGCCGTACTGGGTGTGGTGGACGCATGTGGCCACCCCCACTGGGGTCCTGGGTGGAGCTCCCTATGGGGCCACGAAGCGCCGTACTGGGTGTGGCGGACGCATGTGGTCACCCCCACTGGGGCCTTACGTGGAGCTCCCTATGGGGCCACGAAGCGCTGTACTGGGTGTGGCGGACGCATGTGGCCACCCCCATTGGGGCCTTGGGTGGAGTTCCCTATGGGGCCACGAAACGCTGTAGTCGGTGTGTGAAACGCAGGGAGGAAGGAGGAGGGGGAGGAGAGAGGTGGGCGGTGGAGGGGAGGGCGAGGAGGAAGGAACGCGGGGACCGCCTCTTCAAAACGAGGACCCAACACCACAGGATGGTTGGGAAATACTGTTTCAATCTACCCGTCACGTGTCAGCGCCGCGGTATCCGAAGACACCTACGACTCCACTCTTCTCGCCATGTACAGATTACAGAGGACTCTGGAACAACTGATGGCATTCCACTTCGTAACTTGAGACGCGGTGGCAGAGTATGGCAGGACGGCGACGACGACGACGACGACGACGACGACGACGACGATGAGAAGGGCCAGAATAGCGAACAACATTAGTACCCTTTCCTCCCCATCGTCCTTCTTCCTTCCCCCTCCTCCATCCTCACTCCTCCTCCTTCCCCCCTCCCGCCTCCCCCTTCCTCACTCCTCCTCCTCCCTCGTCACTCCTCCTTCCTCCCCTCCTCTCTACCTTCTTCTGTTCTCCTCCTTTCCTTTCTTCCCTTCCTCTCCCTCGCCCGCAACCCAGTGCAACGCAAAGTACTACAAATGCAAGTGCAACAGGATCCACAATACAAGTCATCGCAGCACAATGCAAAGATCTGCAACACCATGCCGCACAACGAAATGTAATGCAATGCCTCCTCCCATCTCCCTCCTCCCCCTCGTCCAGTGCAGGAAGAAATTGTTGAACCCCCGCCGCCTAGGCCTCCCCCCCCCCTTCCCAGGGCCAGAACATGTGTTTTTGACCCCCCAACGCAGGGGCCCCGAGACAGCGTCGATCGGCTAATTGTTGCACGCGCCTCTCACACGGATCGTGCCTCCAAGGCTAGCAAGATTTTGAACCCTCTAGAGAAGCCTTGGAACCGTGTGACATGTTTTTCTTGAACCCTCCATTGAAAAAGGATCCCCCACCCAAGGCGTAGGAGGAGAAGGAGAGGAGGCAGCAAGGGCATGCGACAGGAAGCAGGGGAACGGGGGGCAGGCAAGAGTGGAGGCATGCCCGCCTCCGAAGGGCCCATTCCGATCCGATCGGTCCGGTTCGATCTCGGTTTCGGCCCGCCCCGCCAAGGTTCGATGTTCCGAACGTCCGATGCGGCCTTGATGTTTGCATGGCGCTGTTCTGTATGCTGGCGCAGCC